AGTCTTTTCCTGGGAACCTCATCTGTCACTCGATGCGGTTTTCGGTGTTTTTACAACTTATCGTGTCCGACAAATCTAAAAAAATGATGTATCTTTTATCAAGTTTGTGAGTAATAGTAAGTCATAGTTTTCTTTTTTTTTTTTTTTTTTTTTTTTTTTTTTTTTTTTTTTTTTTGGGGGGGGGGGGCCTTTTTTTTTTAAAAAGAAATTTTTTTTTTTTNAAAAAATGATGTATCTTTTATCAAGTTTGTGAGTAATAGTAAGTCATAGTTTTCTTATTTTTTTTTTTTTTTTTTTTTTTTTTTTTTTTTTTTTTTTTTTTTTTTTGGGGGGGGGGGGCTCCTTTTTTTCAAAAAAGTAACTTATCTCTTTCAATCGTTTGAAAAATAATAGGCCTTAGTCATACAGTATAAATCTAATCAAATGCAGGCTTTACGGAGCTTTGCCACTTACAGTTTCGCGCACTTCAGTTTTAAATGTCACCTGTCAGGCCGAACATCTGAATAGATAAATGAACGGTGTCCTTACGGATATTGGAACTCTGCAGGGTTAAATAATCTATCATATACACGTATAGTGTCATTCACGCCAATCTTATTTACTACGTCAAAACGCTTCTTTTGCCCTGAGTTTCAAAACACTGACTGTTACTGTTCTCTTGGGTAAAACGCAGGGTGCAGTTCCTGGGTACATGTATAAACAAAAAAGGTCTATATCTCCATGACGTCCCTCCATAGGTCTGTATGCAGTTTATAATACCAATAAGTAAAAACAGCGAGAGATCAATAAAGTCGGCCTCATGTTTAGGCTGAACTTCAAAGAGCTTGTCCATGTAAGGGTGTGGGGAGGGGTGTTGGTGCATTAACCCAGTAAGAACTGATTTACAGAGTAGTGATTCAGGCTATAGGAACGTGGTACTGATTCGATTTTATCCCTAAATTAGCCTTTTACCTTAACCAGGTATATATAGCAATTTTTAGGACACACTTTGTATTGCAGGCTTTTGTTTCATAATGAAACCATATGTTTTGCTCTCTCGATATGGTAAACATTTTATTTGTACTTCTCGATCGCGAATTACTCATCGTGTTAAAAAGATAATTCAGAAAACGAACACTAGAGTGAGTAGAATACTCGCATATATACTCTATTTGGCAAAACCGTAATGTTCACAAGACAAATTTCGGGACCTTTGGGACCTATAATTATCTTTTTCCAGAGAATGAAACGGCATTAACTCCTAGAATGCATCCTGAATTCAAATTTCCCCCCAAAGGACCCCAACAAATCACCAGTCATCAATTCGCGATTCCCCGAAAGGCCCTCGCGTTCTCATCAACACTTCATAACTCGGTAGATTATCCATATAAATATAGACCACTGCCATTTAAGCACGTGGGAGTATTTTTAGACGCTGTTTAATGAACATTGACCGAGGAGAATTGATTTTGAATTCGCCCTTTTGGTATAGACGTGGACAGGAAGCGAAACACTTTTAGCTGCCGGTTGGCGATCGAGAACGACACTAGTGCTCGGTGAAAGCTCTGTGAAGTGCTGAACGGGAGAATAATTCTATTTTTGCGACACCTGGGTAACTGCCAGTTGTCCAACCCCTCTGAATATTGGCATCCCTGTGTACTGAAAGCACACGTATCGATATTGGTCGGAGCAACAATTTCACATATTCATAAGTGGAAATTCATCGCACTGGAAATTCATCGACCAAACGGCCAGTAATACTGCATATTATTGGAATTATGAATAGGAATCTGCTGGGTTTTATACGCAGGATGACTCTGTTAGCGTGTGTACATGTGTACTAGTACCACTGAGACAAAAAAAAAAAAGAAGCACAAGTTAATCGGTAAGTTCATTGCGTGTGTTATTTTGACTTGTGTTTATATATATGTATATATATCTGAACTATTGAGACAAACAAAAAGCCTAGGGCAATCGGTAATTTCTTTGTGAGTGTTGTTTTGACTTGTATAATTTTGAGTCACACTTAGTACAAGAGAAAAGAATACATCGAAAACGAACATATATATATATATATATATATATATAACTTATATATAACTTAATTACAACCCAAAACTCACTGAGACGAACGCGGGATTTCATATTACTGAGATTCTGGATTTGCGTCATGAATTTCCTGTGGCAGTGCTTTTATGTGTTACGAAATTGCTATGAATATGATTGGATCAGTGCCAGAAACAGCTGCTGGTTCTTAAGGTATCGAGAAAAAAATACTGATTATTTAAAAGTGCGGGTCCATATTGATGTAACAGTCAGTCAATGCCACCAGTAGTGTGAGTTATTTATTATTTTAATTTGGAAAACGGTGTATTCTCCCGATAATTTACTCACTTTTACTTAGATTACGTAATAGTGCTTAATTTGTGTTAACAAACGCGTTTGTCTTTAGACTGCCGAATGTACAACAGATCGATAGCAAATTCAATCAGTCTGTAGCAGATGCATTGTAGATACGTTTTCTCTTATCAAGATAGTTTCGTCTTTCTACTCTTCTTTTGAAAATCGTGCCTCTCCTACCGGAAAGCACCTTAGGAAAATCTTGGATGTTGAACCATTGTTTAAACAATTAAAAAAAATCAGTATAAATCACTACAGCCAAATCGACCAGGCATCACCTCTCTTAGTTACCTCAGATCAATATGTTATGTAATTCACTTACAACTGAGACAGCATTTCTAAGCAACCTTTAACAAAAGAGAGGAAGCAAAAATCAATATAAGATCTAAAACGCTTCTAATCTTAAGTTTTCTGCGCGCATCCGGATTTTAGAGGCATAGCACCCTGAGTATGTTTTACCGGTGTGACAGGATTTGTAGTCCGTTAGGAACCGTAGTCCGTTCCCCATTACTTTGAACAGGTGATATTCGTCTCATATGCTAAACCCCGATACTTCAACTAACCCTAACCTGTACTAATCATATGATACCCCGGACTTCCATTCATAGGACTACCATTCCTGTCACACCCGCTTACTATACCCGGTATGTTCGATAAGTTGAAACAGTGTCAGCACAACGAACACAGACTTTGAAAATTTCAAGACAGTAAGAGGTTTTATACTAACTTTTACCCTTTAGCTTTTTCTCGTTCTAACTCTAATTTTTTTTTTAATTTTTATTGTCTTTTATTCATTATTTAATTGAAAATTTAATCTTCATTTAAACTTTGAGTAATTATCAACTGTAACGCTCATAGAATATTCAGGTCACAAATATCGACTTTGACTCTCAGGGTTTATTCGAGTCACGCGCACCAAATTTGACTCGCAGGGTGTATAGGGCCTACCTTAAACCGCAGACATCAAATTTGCAACTGATACACAGGGTGCATGCATGTCACAAAGAAAGGAAAGAAGGCCTCGAGTTAGTCGGTCGGTTAGAAATCAAAAGAAGCGATCAGTTAATTCGTTTTCTTTCCCTTGAGATTGCTCTGTCCTCAAACGCACTCTATCTTGTTAGCAACTCGTGGATGTCACATTAAAAGTGTAATATAATAAGAGAAGAGGCGTTTGCAGGCTTCAAGACGAGTCAAGATAACGAAAATTTATGACACACTTCACAAAAAAAAAAAAAAAAAAAATGCTTAAGTCGATAAATCAATGTTATTATACACCTTGCAAACAGAATTTTCGGTTAGTTCACTTTTTTTACGCATGTTATTTTATATGTATATGTCTTGAGGCAAGACCTACAACACTTTCTAATGCCTTCACATTTTTTGAGGTGAAAGTCATCTTTTGAGTCTGGAGGAACTTGCAGATGAGTTATGTTCTCTTCACTCTCTGGTATCCAGGCCGAGGATAGAGATATAAGAAAAGTGGCAGAGAAAGTATACTGGCGCACTGGTTTAATAATTTTAAGTGTCAACATTTTCTCCATAGAAAGATAGGAAAAGGGGAGAAAAAAATATTTAACAGGACAAGTCGTAAAGTAAAAATCAAACGCAGATGTGGATAGTCAGTGGGAGAGCCGTCGCAAAACCCAAATTTGACGCACGTCGCCACATTGTGTTGCGATGTTCCTTAATCGCGATTGCACTAGATGAGATTGACCAAACACTGCCTTGCAACAAACAGCATCGTCTGTGGAGACTACAGGCTGGTGATTGTTCTAACAGCCTTCCGGGTTGAATGAATAAGGGCCTATGGCCTTCTTTTACCAGTATGCTCCCAGATACAAAAGTTGCTTGCACTTTAGCACCGTTTAAGACTGGAAATTGATTTTATTTTGCGTCACCAAACGCTTAGGTTACAAATGGACCCCATTGCGCCGTAGTAGGGCCTAACTGAGTCGACTTGCGACACCTTCCAGTCCTCTTTTATGTTCGAGGTTGCTTTTATGAGAATATAACTTATTTCACTCTCTACTTGAACCCTCTTAAGAAAAATATTCATAGTAATGAACTATCATTTTTGCCCTCATGTACTTTTTCAGACATTTAGTTCCCACAAATTTTTGGCGTGCGTCTTGTGTTTAAGATAACATCAATTTGGGTATATAGCGATAAGTTGGTGTTATCTATTACATCCGTACATGAAAATTTTAGAGAAGTACGCATGTGCGAGTAGCCTACTTATCGATTTTCAACTCTCGGTTTTAAGATTATGGAGTTCATTTATACAAGGCGAGACACTCCTTGTGGTTTCTTTTATAAACTATATTGATATAACCACAGAGATAAGCTATAGAGAAACAAGCGGAAGGAATAGAACAATCATCATACAACTGTTTTGTACAATTTGTTTGATATTCAGATTTATTATTTTAAACGTTTTTTTTTTAGTTTTGAGAGTTGGATACGTTGATCAGACGATTTCAAAGTCACCTTTTNAACAAATTCTTCCCTTCCCGATCCCCGGGCAGCTTTTCCCATTTCTTCATATTTTAAAGAAAGATAATATCCCCAACAAAAGCGTTTTGAGCATTAGTAATAAGTAAAACCTTTTGCTGTATTTCTAGGCTGCACCGGTTTCGTGCGGACTCGGCAGCAACGTGATTATATTTACTTGACCTCTGACCTTGTGACGTCACGATCCTGTGAGTGAAACAGAGGAGAGCCGTGCGGGAGGGCAAGTGTACACAATTCACGGTGTCTGACCAAAGGTACCCTTGGTCCATGCGACTTCAGACGGTAAATATCTTTATTTTACATTTCACTATACAAATTCAGTCTTATCAACATATAAATCACAGTAAATCCTAGCAGACGATAAGCCGAATGCAGTGATATCATATTTGACGTTCTTGTACTTTTTTCGTATTTACCTGCCGGCGTTTTAGAAGCAGAGATTTATGGATTGGAATTTCAATGAGTTTTACTCAAAATACTTCTGATTTTAAGGAAACTCAATGGGAGATAAGACAGGACAAGTCCCTGATGATGACGGAACCAGGGACCAGAGACCCCCTGACGAGAAGAATAAGCCGTGTGCTGAAGAAAAAGATGGCAATGGAGTAACGGTGTCAAAATTTGATCTGGACGAAACAGACGATGAGATAAAGCGCGAGCAGTGGTCCAGTCCTATTGAATTTATTCTGTCCTGCATTGGCTTTGCCGTGGGACTCGGCAATGTATGGAGATTCCCATATCTCTGCTATAAGAACGGTGGAGGTAAAAAAAGTCAAGATTTTTTGTTTTACAAGTTGCAACAATGTTATCTTTCAAAATATTGTTGATCCTTTTAGTGATTCATGCCTTTTATTGTTTTTTTTCCTTTTTTTTTTAATTTCATAATGTTATTTTAATAGAGCTTTGCTTGAGCCTTCTCAAAATAACATTATATGCACTTGGGTTCAAAGTTCTGTAATAAGAGGTAGAGTATTCTAGCTTGGGGGACTCCACATGCTTTGAAATGGTGTAAATGAGCATTGGGGGGATTTACACGCAAATATGTAAAGATTTCTGAATAATAGAACAATAAGCTGCCGCTACTCAGTCAGGTGTATAAGTTGGTGGAATTTACACCTGCTTCACTACTTCAAAAGATGTTTAGTTTAACCCTTGCAATAGCAGGTCTTATACAAAATGTCAAAATGCTACAGTAAATTTCTAATAAGGTTTGTATAACTTTGCAAGGTCACAGTTTTGTGGGAGTGGTGGTGTGTTGTGTTCTTTAGAACTATCTGTAAACAGTATACACAAAGTGAAGATAAAAAGAAAAACCTCAGTTATTTCCAGGCAGTGGTTCTAAACTCTCATATCAGATGTGCAACTTGTTAATCTTATTGAAAAGTGTCACACCTCAAAATTTCATAATAAAATCCTGCAAATTGTAGATTATTACCCTACAAGTGCTATAACTGTCTAGGGAGGTCTTTTGGCTTCCAGACTAATATAATGAGGATTATTTCACTGCTATTGCATGTGTCACTGTGAGAAAATACGGTGCAGCATTTTCCAGGAAAGTACATCTACATAACAATATGTCCATAAAATTACTCATTAACTGAAGCCTTAGACTTTCTTATTTGTTATTAAGAAAAAAAAAGCTTATGTTTGTTTTCTCTTTCACTATACATGCATCCTATTTGAATTTTTTTTTTTTCATTATGGTTATCTTTAGTGTATAAAGTTATATTGCTTTTCTTGTGTACCTGGTTTCATTGTTTGTACATCCCAGAAAGCAATTGAAATTATATATTTTAAAAGTTTCTGGAATATATTGTGCATGTTTTATAACGAGAAAGGCATGGCTCAAGTTTCAGGTCCAGAGTTGCTCCTTTTTTTTTGTGGAAGTCAACATTTATCCTGAATATTATTTAAAGTAGACCGAGATTTTTGTCTAAAAATTGAGACCAGCTTCCGGGTCTAAAGTTTTTATGTGGTATAGGCCCCATTAAAATTCTGTCACAGCGATGTACATAGACTTGGGGAAAAGTGCTTCTCTAACCAGTCCTGACCGCTTGAAATGCTAGAGGACAGGCAAGATAGTTGAAACAGCAGGTCCTCTGGACTAGCTGGCTAAGTTTAAAAGGTTTAAAATACAAAACATCATGATAAATCACATATAAACATAAGCTTAAAGATTCAAAGCTTCAAAGATTGTTAGGAGGACCTGCAGATTTCTTTTAGTTCAGACCCTCAATTTGGATTTCAAAGTCCTCCAAAGTTTTCCCCATGTTTGATTAATATCTTGACATGATATTATGACTGTAAACTGATCCTCATTGGTTTGGTTTTAGATCCAGAACAACTGTTAAGTTTAAGGCACTTATGGAAACCTTGAAGATTTTTCCAATCATGTTCTTATTGAATAGGTTAGGTTTCTGCCAGTAGTATTTTGTTTGGGCTTCATTAGGTAAATGAATAATGACAGTAATCGAGGTACGTATACTACGTATTGGGTCAGCTTATAAGGTAGTGTGTGATTTGACATGGAGTACATGAAACCAGAGAGAATTCTAGGAAATAGGAGAAAGTTCATAAATCATGCCAGTTTTCTCAGAATACCAGTGGCAACATATTTTGTCAAGGTCAGTCTGAACATGCAGCTGTTTGTACGGTTTCAAAAAAGACCCTCTCTCTCGAGAAATTTTTAAAAAATGCAGAAAAAAATGATAAAAATGTGATACCCATTGTACTGATTCACTTAATCTATATATATCTTTGCTATTTTATAAAATATTTTACTTTGATGTAATCCACATCTAGTGCATTTCTTTCCATAGAAATGGTAATTTTGATACAACCACTTTTTTCTCCTTATCAGAAGTTAACTATTATTTTGTAATTCCTCAGAGGGATAAGACTACTATATCACTCTTATCTCGAACAGGTCAAATATTTAGAATGGGATTAAACCCTATTGAGATGACAAGAAAGTATGGAAAGGTATGATTTCCTTTGGGATAGATTATCGTTAGTTATGGGGCAAAAATGAGGTTGTGGTGGGCAAGATTCTGCCTTTGGTCACGTAGTACAGTCTGAAGAGTGTGCTTAGTAACGTCTGAAGAGTGCAAGTGCCGTCTGTGTGTGCTTTAGAGCCTTCTTAATTCGTCCATTTCTGGGACAAACAGGCCCAATTAAGTGTTTGTGGCACCCTCCCTTAAGTCACTTAACCCCCCCCTCCCCACAAAAAAAAAAAAAAAAAAAAAAAAAAAAAAAATATATATATATATATATATATATATATATATATATATATATATATATATATATTGGCAGATGATTAAAATGTGTATTTCTAAAGTGCCTTACAATATACTAGTATATAATGTTCTCTGAAAGTGAGTGAAATGAGCTGTTTTAATGACATGAAAATGCCCGTGTTGTACATGAACTTTAACTGAGAAGTAGGTTAACCAGAAAAAATTATTATATAACAGGCGTCAAAGATAAATACCAGGCAATTTTGAAACTAAAGCTGCCTGTTCTAATTGTCTGTGGGAAATTTAACCAAAGAATGCTGTGGACATTTTTAATTTGTTCAAATAGGAAATGACAACAAAGAGGTGAAGTAATGGCTGGGATATGGTCAAGCAGCTGTGGGTAAAAATAATTGAAACATTCTTACTTGTCATGGGTAAAGAAAGTGCCAAGCTTGAAAAGAATTTTGCAAAAATTGATCCTGCCCTTCCCCCCTGCTCTACACTCGCGCACACACACTGCGCCAGATTAGCTTATAAAAGTGAGGAAAAAAAGTGTGTGTGTGTGTGTGT